AAGAATAAAACACTATAGAAATAACATTAAATGGGGTTATTAAATGATAAACCGGTTGTTTATTGAGTAAAATAATGTAGTGAAATATAATATACCGTATGTTTTATAAAGTACTGATAAAGAAATAAAAAGGCAGACAAGTAGACTTTGTTTTGTTCTTGCTACTGTCTTACCTAAACCCAAAGCAAGCATAACAATACTATATCATATATTTTGTTTTAGTTAATTCAGCAACAATGAATGCTACTAAATATACAAGTAAGTAAAAAATAAAGAAATGTGTTACTGAGAAGTTTCAAGGAAAGTATTAATACTTTGATGATATTAAAATTGTAATGTACTATATACTAAAGTAAGAGCACAGGTTGTAGTCAAATACAATCAAATACAATATATAATTTGTTTACCATGTCCATCTAAAAAAATCATTTTCAATTTTACTACATAATTAGAACAATCATCATCATATTTCATAAACAATCTCTGTCATACAAAATCAATTTGTCCATTGTCGAATACAATGAAATCAGGCAAAGCATCTTGCACCATTTGTTTTGAAACAGAACTTCTCTTGCATCTTCCTGGATCCGTTCATATTCAAACGACGCACAGTCTGTATCTTCTATACATAGTGTTTGGCATTCAGTGAAAGTTTGTGGTGAACTACCGCGGTCATTGAAGCCTGCCACACGCATTCCCTCAGTGAACGAGAAAGAGTTGGTCAGTGTTTACTTAAACCTATAAGAATAAAATATTTTATATATGTACTGTGTAACGTGTCTAAGACCATTGTAAATCGATGTCGTCTTCTGTTTAAACCGTCAACTAAGATTTGGTTTACTCTATTTGGTTTATATAATATACATATAAAATCGGTCTTTCTGTTAAAAAATGCCTAAATATTTCTCAAAGGGTGGCTACATTTTTTTTTCAAAAAAAAAGAGTTAAATACCTTTCATACAGTCTTTGGAATCTTGGTCATATCGGAAGAATCGGTTACAAAAACAGTAACCTTCGTTACATATTGCCTCGGTCTCATTGCAGTCAGAGTTACTTGTACACATTGTTCCAATTGTTGTCGCTACAATTAATATATTGTACATGTATACGAACTTGTCAAAGGTATCCAAAATTTACAAAATTCTTTCATCCATATGTTAAAAGACACATTTGCAAATGCAAAAATACCATGTATTTGTCGGTTGACTTTGGAAATATATTGAAATAAAATCATATCAAGGTGTCAAAACAGTTCTTAAAGGGAAAGACAAGGTTAGAATAAAAACTTGATTTCAGAAAAAGAATACTATAAATAATAAGTCTGCAAATTTTCTGCCGCCAAATAATAATATTAAACGAATGATAACAAAATTTAAATCGCTAAATCACCGATTTCTACAAATCAGTAAGCGCGGCCATGTTTGTGTATTGGCCGTATAAAAACAGGTGCGCGTGATGTCATTTCCCCACATCTTTAGATTCATGATAAATCTAGTTGAATCGTAAGGAAATATTAATGACCAGACAATTTAATTTTCACAGGAGGCGTAGAGGAGATTTTTTATGGTTCAAAATACGTAACAATATCAAAAAAAAATAGATAAAAAATAAAGAAACGTACGGCTAGCCAAAAGTTCTAGCCGTACGTGAGTCACGAACGACTAGCCAGGACGCACTGTATGTACGTATTGTCTAGCCGTACGGCACTTTTCAAAATTATATGGAAGTCGAACGTTATAAAATTGTTGATTTTCATGCTTATCATTTGTTGTTTTATTTTTATGAATTATTAAATCATTTTTGTTAATTTTAAGCACATGGATCAAATAAAAAATGATCGGAGTGGAATAAATAAATAGAAAGAACATTGAATGAAAAAAAAAAAAACGGTGAAATGCAAAAATAATTATATAATTTTCAAAACAGTAGATAAATATCGAACATAAAAGCACAGTCAATCAATTAATTAGCCTTAATTAAAACCTATCCAGGGACTGACAATAGAATTTTAGAATGCCTTTCACGGAACATGCAAATTTTCCTTGATGGACAAACGTCTATACAGTACCGTCGGTAATTGTCGCAATTATCAAGAGCCTAACAACAATCATTTTCAGTGTTTGTTGTTTTTTTTTTTTTTCATATAAAAGGTGTCGAAAATTAAACTTAATGAAACAAAAAAGGATTATTATCAAGATTTTGTAAACTATTTCAATTGGTGTAAATGCAAGCAAAGGCTATTTTTTTTTTCTCGACATCATGCGATGACAAAGATCGATATATATATATAGCGATCAAGGCGATTAATCTCTAAAAAGTTAACATCCAAAGACAATTAATGCTGTTTCTTGGTTAAAATCCTCGCTTAAAGTCATAAAATAACATATGCATTTTCGACTTCCATAAAATTTTGAAAAATGCCGTACGGCTAGCCAATACAGCGTGTCCTTGCTAGTCGTACGTGACTCACGTACGGCTAAAACTTTTGGCTAGCCGTACGGGCCCGTACGCTAGCCACTTCCATTATAAAAACCCTACTAAAACGAACGTGTTCTTAATAGTACATATAGTTAAATTTTTGCAGTTTGATTCTGACTTTCAAATTTAAAGGTGTGAACATATGTTATAATTGATGTACACATTTCAAAAATATAAGCAAAAGTAAATTGTTAACATGTCTGTCAACGTATGATGCTGCGCATCGTAATCGTAGCCTAATATTAACTGCAGGCAAATCATTTTTATTGGCTGCTCAAAAGTCTAATTTGCATAATTTATTCACACAATTGCTGGTTCTTACTACTTATGTCTAATACTGCGCATTGTCCATTTTAATTGTTCCTAATTTGCACCAAATGCTCCTGTCACACTGTGTACTGACGATTTTTATTGCTCCTTGTATGCCTCTGTGCCGACAGACCTTTTGATCATGCACAATGTTGCCCTGATTGGTTAATCACCCTTGTCAAATATTCTAATGACGAAATAGACATCTATTTTTTTTACGCTTCATCAGTGAACTGAATGACCTTAGGGGGAATTAGGTTCCACACCTGTCAAATTATACTGTAGTAAATTACAGCACGTCATAAAATAGCAACACATTTTTTTTCAGTTACCAATAATCATTTTAAATATTAAGTAGATCGACTTATGATTTTTTTGTTTTATTGGATTAAATTTACGGTAGTAGAAATGCGTATATGTCGGGGAAAGGAATTTGGTAAGTAGATATTTATTGGATTTAGTTGATATTTTACCTGAAAAAAAGATACATGGCCGGCGATGTATACCTATTTGGACAGCTTGTCTAGCGAAAATTAAGTACAAAATAAAAGGATATATCGTATATTTGAAGAAGTTTCTCATAGTACCCAAATTAAATTTATGGTTTATCTTTGAAAATTAAGCAGTCATTGCTTAAATCATGTGGTGGGATCATCAGCAAGCTTGAATATTGGAGAAATAATAATTAATGTCGCGGCGTCTTCAATTAATTAATTAAAGCAATTCAGTTCCATATGATGTTTTCATAAATAATATATAATGTACGCAAAATTAATAAGTTCTTCACCAAGATATATTTCAGTTGTACCAGCGTGTACACCTATACCGGAAGTGGGTATAACACGTCACAATCTCGGTCTCGTCTGTCTCGCGAGAATGACAGAACGCCAAAATGGCGGCGCCCATGAACTTATTTCTCAAGTAAAAAATAGTGTCTTAAAACACGAATTTCTCTCTTATAGGGTTGATGTCAATAGTAAAACTGTCATGGTTCCTCTTTTTAAATGATGAATATTTATATTAGACAGACATCAATCCATCCATTCCTATTCCTTTAATAATTTATAGGGCAGATTAGAATTATGATAAACAGTGTAATATTTTTACTTGTCGTGACTACAATTGTATGAACAAATATAACGATAATTTGTTACATATACAACATGTTAGATTGTAGAGAATTAACCGTTTACCACAGTGGAGTATATTTTGGAAAACATTGAATGATGACCTTCAAATATTTCTTATAATAAACGTTAAAATAAAATTTAAGCTTTTCAATGACTTTGATGAGGGAATGAAGAAGTTTGACAATTTTATGAAATTGAGTAAATATCGAGTTAATAATATTGGTGTTCGCTTATTTTACTGTTGTCTGATCATTTAATGTCACTTTACTTGACAAAATGGACAAACCTTTACAAGAAGCTTCTGGTACCGACCACTCCCCATTTAGGAGGCACGTTATGCTCGTGTCACCACTGTGGAACATGTTCTCTGGGCACGTTAACACGTATAAATTGTTAGTTCCGGCAATGCTCGTGCCAGATTGATCATCTCCGCTTGCATACCGTGTGTGTTCACATGCTAAAGAAAGAACAAACAAATTAAATTTGCATATGTTTGAATGTTTTATAATGAAACATGTAGAAAATTTCAATATATAGAAACATTTTTTTATAGAATAAAATAACGTCCTTACAAATAATCCGAAAAACATTATTGGTAAAAAACATGTGAATAACACACTCTAGCTATAAATAGTTTTCAATTTGATTAAAGTTGACATTACTCTCTTCAATGCTTTTTAATGGAAGACAAAGGAGTATATAACTTTCGTTAGGGATTAATGTTTCGAAGTGTTTCGTGAACGAAACCATGAACAACGGCACATGTAATCCGGAGTAACTGATCCGAAATTCTAATACGGCGAGAAAATTAATATGAAACGTTAATAATATTGGGCATTCAAACATTTTTTTATCAAAGAGAAGTAAACGTATTACTAAATGCATGTATGTATAATAATGGTGTAAGTATTATTGATCAAAAACTTGTGTAATAAACAATTAATAATAAATAATTTCATTCATAAAAATCTATTATGTATGAGTAATTTTAAGACGATGTGTGGGATAATTTACTTTATATCTCAAATCAGTAATCAGTAATCTAAATCTAAGTATATTTGCTTGTATTGACAAATAACTTACTGATATTGACGCATTTATACGCGCCATTACCGAGAGGTGAGCATCGCTGTCTTTTGTCACACTGGTGGTGTTTACATTCGCTCACCATAGACTGAAGCAAAGATTAAGAAAAACGCATTAAACGTATCAAATTAGAAAAATTAAATCTGTATTAGTAACACGTAAATATGTTTTTGTTCTTGAAAAAGGCACTTGTCTTTAAAAATAGTATGACATGACCAAGAAAAACAATGAAACCTATTATGCTAGACAAGATTGCTTTTAAAATATGGTAAACAAGATCAACAAAGAAAGGTGGCGTTCAATGAACGTAACACCCACACGACCCAGCAACAAAAACCAGTGGCAAAGAGCCCAAAAGGACCCCAAACAAAAACAGGACAGAGCGCAAGGCAGAGCACGGACAGGCTAATCACTAAAATGATACACACAAAGAAACAAGAAATGATTGATCAATAGGCCCAAAAGGGCACAGGGGAAGGGGCACAGGGGAAGAAGACCCGGGGGCTGGTGTAGGAACCAATTATTAAAGAATGGATCATGGGTTAAATATTTCATTGACAAATGCATAGTGTACAATGCTTAGACAGTATAGTTTAAAAACTGATTTGCGGACGTAAAAACAGAAATCAAATAAAAGAAATGAGAAAGGCAAACACATCATATTCATTTGATAATCTTTTATATATGGTTAATAGTCTGTTTTTGTTGTTGGTTTTATTATCTTATGTGCTTTGGTTGTTGTATTGCCTTTTATTCTTAATTCTATATTGTAATATTTGTCGAACAACAATTTTAGATTTTTTAAGAAAACATGTCACAAAGTAGAAAGTATCAGAAATTACATACTTTAATCATTATAAACAACAAATAAATATCATAACTGTGTAATTTAATATATAAATGAAAGTTATACAATGGTATTCTGAATTCCATACAAAAACTACATAAATGAATTAATTGCAACTACCCAAAAGAATCTTTAGATGGCTCAGGAATATGACCAATGTTTACCCACTCTTTCCTGTTTTCTTACAAGGTAGTTCTAAGCAAATCTATGTCCGGTTAATGGGTTATATAGGTGCTATAGTAGTTCAGAAACTCACTTTGCGCCAAATCCTTTCATATCACAGTATACCGTAATTATAGTAGAAAACGATACTATGAGATATGTTTGTTGCAACATCATCAGGTTTTATTACCCAGTGGTGCTGTATTTTAAACTTTTAGAAAAGAAATTACCTGAGGCCATTCGGATATATCAGAGAAAATAGTTCCTTTCACTTCGTAGAAATCTGATGGATTAACTGTTCCACTTCCAGATGAGTTTATTTCACATGTTTTTGTTCTTGCATCAAAATTAATAGAAACACAAGCTCCTATAAACATGCATTCTTCGGCACATTCGTGATGTGACGACACTTTCATGTCAAACAGCTTATAACCAAGTAGTTGTTTGTTTAGATTTACAACCTTTGACTGAAAAGGCTGGCACGATTGTAAACAAGTAACCTTCGTGCATAAAAGAAGGACACTCCATAAAAAGAGCGGTTTAATCAGCGCCATGTTTGTAGTCATTCCATTTCTCTTTTAGCAGTAAGAAAGACTTGATGACATTATGAACCGTCACACTTATCTAAACCAGAAACTGGCTGGTTAAACTAAGACTGGAACGTCGTCTTTCTAAACCAATGACGCTACACAAATGGAAAATAAAGTTTATAATACCTTGCACTGTTTAAGTCAGAGAACGTGGTAAGGAACTTAAAAATATTTACTGTTATATTTTCTGAAACAAAAAATTCACACGAAAAAAATTGGCACGCCATAATCGGGACTTGAACCATTGGTCTCTGGATTGCTGATCCGGTATGCTAACCGCAACACGACAACAACCGTCAATTAGCACGAAAACATTGCAAAGGTGTAGTTGTTACCATACCGGACCTTCAATCCGGAGACTTGTGATTCGAGAATATATATATATTTTTATTACAAGTTTTACATGAAAATACATGCAACACAAAACCTGTGTATTGAAATATGTGTTAATTATTTAATTTTAAGTGTGTTAATAATCAGAAAATGTGCACAAAAAATTATTGGTCCAAATTGTCACCAGGTGGTACACAAATCTTTGAAAATTATTTCATGTTCCGTCACGTCAAAAACAAAAACGAAAAAGAAACCTCAGTACGTGGAGCATTTAAAAACAAAAATGAGTTACGTTCATGCGTACTTTTTTATTCCTATCTTCCTCTAAAACATGCTGAACTGTTATCACAAGTAACTGAATATTTTTAAATAATGTCAGATATCACAATAGTGAGTTTTCCTTTCCGCCAAATACAAAATATAAAAGTCCAATCTCGACATACCAATTGGCTAGCTTAACCCTATTGGGTATAAAAACTACACAATGGTCGTCGTGGTGAAAATAAATCTAGATGAGTTTGAATTGATTTTTGAAAAAGACAATGAAATATATATCATTGAACAATTTCATTCTTTTCAGTTCTTTTTACTGACAATTGCCTGAATACCCTTTCAGTGGAACAACCGAGCAAAAAAAGAAATCAACCTCAACTCAATTAAACAATTATACCATTCCGAAATAAAAGAAGCTTTTTCAGAGATGACGAGTATGACGTTGTTTTAAGTGGATCAATATGCATAAATGTCAGGCAAAATAAGATCAAAACAGATTTTTAATAGATCAGCAAATGGCAAGAACGATTTAGAACAGACACGCAGAACTACCGGAAAGGCAACCAACGGGGAACCGAACTGAACAGGGGAGTGACATGATGGCATCTTTGGTGAAGTCTAAAGATGTAGTAAATACTATCTTTTAACAATAAAAAATAGCTAAACTTTAAAAGCCGTCTTATATCTCTCAATTTCTTATTTCCATTCGAGCAGATACAGCAAGTCTACATACAAAATGTACTTGGTCATAATTCCTGACAATCTTAATGCAAAAGGTTATATTATATGAATATCCTCGGGGGGAAATCTCTAATTTATGCAACTCATGGTTGTATCAGCGTTTATTTCAGGCTTTAATGACCGCGGAACGTGGAGGGGTATTGCGAGTGTCTTTCCGGCAATACTTAAAAAACTGAAGTCAAGTTTATTGTACATAAATCACTTGCTTCTTATAAACTTGTTAATTCTAATTACTAGTATTTCTTCTTTTTTTTATTTCGGAATGTTGATAAATCCTCTAGCTTATCCACGTTACACACACAAAAGTAGTTTCAATATTTTGACTGCAACACGACCGATTTTACAAACTGATATATAACATAGATGACCACTGTGTTTATACTTAACAAAAAAGAAACTTTACATAGTTAGTCTATATGTGAACGATATTTATATTTACTTACTGGCCTGATTTTGTTTTGTTTGTTTGGTTCATTTTACGCCTTTTCCCAACAGTATTTCAGTCATATAGGCGGGTAGTTGAGTATAAAGTACAACGACGTTAGATTTTTGTGCAGTTGTACTGTAGACGGTTTGCACAATTTTCAATTCCGCTTTTGCCCACTATCTCATGTTAATCTATCCCGACTTCATTTCATTTGCTCAGACGATACGTTATTCGTGTGTGTTGACTTACCTATCGTTATGGGGCGTCCGTGGCCGAGTGGTTAAGGTCGTTGACTTCAAATCACTTGCCCCTCACCGCTGTGGGTTCGATTCCCCGACGGAAGGGCACCTGAGGTCTTCCTCCACCAGTAAAGCTGGAACGTCGCGATATGACCTATACTGTGTCGATGTGACGTAAACCCCAAAACAAACAAACAAAAAACCTATCGTTATACAGATAAAATTCTAACTGTTCGTCACAGAGCTGCCCGCTTAGCTTGGGCTCAATGTCACAGGCACTGGACCCGATCCCAATGGCGAAAAGTGGTTTTTACCGAAGAGCTTTGCTGCCGGTAGGGTCAAAGTTTACAGGTGACGGAACGAAACAATTGCCCAATGTTACATGCAGGAGCGGGACCGCTTATTTTGGACGCGTAATAATGCACAATCAAAGTACATACTTGGTCATAATTCCTGACAATCTTAATGCAAAAGGTTATATTATGTGAATATCCTCGGGGGAAATCTCTAATTTATGCAAAATTGGGGTCCGGGAGTGATTCTGAAGCAGGACAAGGCGAGGCCTTACACAGCTTGTGTTACTACACAGTTTTTGGCTCAGAAAGACGTCAATGTCTTGCTGTGGCCGGCGGTTTCCCCCCGACCAAAACACCATTGAACAAAACGGGGGCGAGCTTGGGCGTCCGGTACGGAAAGATCACCAAATAAACAATTTGTCAATGACCTGAGACATACCCTCCTTGAATGGCAGAACATACCCAAAGACGTCAGTTTACTAAATTAATATTTTCTATTGTTGAAAAATAAACACTAACCCATGCTGAACCCAACATATTTAAAAATTGAAACCGATATTTCTTGGTATTTGTACAATGTTCGGCCTAAGATTATAAGAAGCTTACACCAGCTGCCGGTACAGACCGAAATATCTAGCTCGAGGCTGTGTCCAAACGAAGATCCCACTTGCTCTTCCGTGCATTATTTCAGGCAAACGGGCACCTGAGTAGAACCACCGACCTAAGCACTAGACGTGAAAGCCGCTGTAACATTTAATTTTGACCCGACGAGTGAATTGTCAACGTTGAAAATTGCACCAGGATCAATTTAATTTTTAACATTGAGAATATTCCCTGACCAACATTTCAACATTGAATTTTGATCAAAAAGTCGTTGTAATTGATCTAAACAATCGTTAAATTTTGATTGTGGTGTTGTGGTGTTGTGCGTACAATAAACGGAGAAACTAACTTTTTACATCTTTATTTTTACATAAACAGTATAACTCTGCGGTCTAAGTCTCTAAACGATAACTGCCCAAAATGGACTTTTCAATGAGTATTTGATACATGGCAGCTTCCCAACTATCTGTAAACGATGCATGTTACTAAATACGTATGTTCTAACATATATTATAAATCATTCTGAAAATATTATTGAACTCTGTATACATTCATATAAAATTGTTAGATAGTACATGTTATTTATAAAGATAAATAAAAGCCTTAAAGTAAATCTATACATCGACTTTTCTTTATAATAAGTATCAACACACGCATATGTAACAACATTTATCATAGTAATTCAACATGATCAAAATGGGGTCATTTTATAAGGATCGGTAAATTTCAAATTTGAAGATAGATATCCTCAATTTTTGAAAGAGAAACATCTCTCACAACTTCTTAGAAATGAATGAACTTAAAATATCAATCAATTCCATAGGCTCAAACTGACAATTCCTCCGATATAGGCAATCTTAATTTTAACTAAACTTTAACTTATATCTAAGGATCCCAAATCACTCAAATTCATCGTCAATTCTATCAAGAACATTCAGTCTAAGAAAAAACTGCTTTTTTACATACAATTAACAAAATTTCAATGACATATGATTTCTGTGTGCACTATAGGTCAACGGGATTTTTATTGTCACAAACTGTTGATTACATGATCTAAGCGCGAAGTACATTAGGTCTACCGTTCATACATGCAATGACGCCATGCGTTTTTACCACGACTTTGTTTACTTTGTTTGTATTATTGACGATACAGTTTGGGTTTTAAACAAACATGTTTATTTACACAGACGATTTCAAATGCCGGGAAGGAACTCTTTTACTGCAAACTTTAATATCTAAATGCGGAGAGTTCAGATTTGGGTTCTGGTGTGCCCAAAATATGCAATGAGTATGAAGAAAATGTCGCTAAACGGACTCCAAATACAGTTTTCACTAAATCTTACCACCGAACGATGCTTAACATTCAAACAATCCTCATTGAAACATTTCCTGAGATTGGTCTCAAAATAAAGGAATTGCTGAACCCACGGCAGAAAGAATATCTCGATCGAAGACTGCATAAAAATCTTAACAAAAATAGGTAAATAGTGTAATTTACAGTAACGGTTAATGTATTTTTACTTTACATCTATTATTAGGAGAGAATCGCTTAGAAAAATTAGAATATCTCACAGGCGTCATAAAAATTATTTCACAAACATAACATGGCCGAGCCTGGGCGCATGCAAACTACTTTGCCGAGAAAGTCAAGATAATCATTCTGTAATCTGAAAGATAGCTGTTGTATTAAAGTTTAAGACAATGATTTCCAACAGATGGGTCTATGTGGTCAGAGTCCGACATGCACATCGAGACATCCACAGGCGAAGCATCTTTTTTTCAAACTAGGTTTTTTGTTCACTGATAAATTAGTATAATCAACTGTTTAATTTCATTAGAACATCTGTAACTTATGGTGGCTGCTTTGTGCCATTCGTGTTTTCGCCCGCGACCTCGCTTTGTCTGGATAATGTTTACTAACAAGTCCCGGAGCCGGATCAAAATTTGTTCATAGACTACATGATCATGATGTAGATTCCGACATGCTAGAATAACTTCATGTTCAAGATCAGCATGTGTAGCTGAGTAACTATGTCTATTTTCAGCTCCTATGACTTACTTGTGCATCAAACTGGTATCTTTTGTATAACACTTTCAGAGGCCAGAGTAGGATCATTATTGTGAAGTTTGGTCAAAATCTACCAAATGTATAAGTAATGACTCAGGACCTCACAAAGACATGTTTGACTATTTGTGCTCAGGTCAGATCATGTGCTTAGTACATTATACATACATTTCACATAAACAAAACTGAAATCATGTTATTCTTATAAATTTATTAAACAAAAAAAATGATACAAATTTAATACAAGTTATACAAAATAACATGCATATATCTCGATATTAACTGCTAAATAAATAAAATCCTTGCTAGCCATGTTGTGATCAGTCGTCCTCATTTACATTTCAATTAATGATCCAATTTGTAATTTCAGGTAATGTTGGAAACGATAACAACATTTCCCAAAGAAAAAAATGTATTTAAAACTTGACATTTTTTGCTACTTCTGTACATATTTATGCATATTTTATCTTAAAGGCACAGATGTTTGAGAAATACATTAGACTTTCGGGAATTTGAAGTCTTAAATTAAACATTGATAGAAGTAAACATTGAGGACATATATTCACAGAGTATTCAATTAAGATTTAGAAATAACTATATCTACATCATATCATCTTTCCTTGAATGTAAACAAATTTAAATTTAATCTAAGAACATAAAACAAAAGAAATTACACTTAATATTTCATAGAAAATGTATTTTATCTAATTTCCACTGAAAAGCTAGCATTCAGAGGTGGACTCCTTAAAAAATTTACCAGTTTTTTTTCCTATAATCTAATATTTATTTTTGTATTGTTTACTCAAATGTATTCTTTAGTGTGCACTAATAGTTATAGGAAGCAAAATTAAATGTCATAAAAAAAAACATTTTTGCTCAAATACAAACATATGCATTTTCTTTTAATAAAAGCTTCTGAAAACAAACTTTAAAAGCTTCTGAAAACAAACTTGAGATTCTATTAATACTGACAAAGAACACCGTCCACCAGCTTACAATACTTGTACACAGTTGCTCTTTCGTCAGTATCTGACTGGTTGTGGAAGGCTGACTTTTCAGTGTAAAAGTCAAATGTTCACTGTGGATGACAAACATATGGCATCTTTTCTAAATGATTAAGTGTTAAGAAACCTAAGATTAACTAGTGGAGGGAGACCTGAGGTATACTCTCAATACCCAGAGACCTGGTTTCTATGTTGAACAAACTTTTATGCAATATTATGAATTGTCTAGCCCCAGTGACCTAGTCTATATCAACCTCAAACCCTTTTCAAGAGTAGACATCTATGCAATGCATCTAAATATCTTAGACAATGGTCAAGAAATGAAAGTGCCATGAGAAACCTGGTAAGAAAATATAAAGTAATGATTTGGAAAACATTTGGGTATATAGTTATTCCTTGCAAGTTTGAAATCAGAGCACTAGCAATTTTGTTTAGTACATCTACTTGATACTTTTTTTCCTTTTATTTTGTATCTATCACATCATTTCACAACCGTTTATTAACAAAATTCTAAATAATATCAAATAAAACATTGTTCAAGAGGGCAAAAAATAATCCATGACACCTTTGAAAACAAATTACAAACTAATTTACACACAAAAAACTCCAACAAAATCCTAAAAGCTAACAGATGTAATGAATAAATCATATATCATTATCACATTTGATTTACATATTAACATCAGGTACATTTTGTATGAATCACGCTAAAGCAGGAGGCTGGAACTGTTTTAGCATATTGGAATGTTTGAAGCTATTTAAAGCTACATGCCTCCAGATGAGCCAAAATATTTCAAGATATGTCAAACTTAAGGAAAATGTTCTAACATTTTAAGAAAAGTATAAAGAATCAAGATTCAATAAATAATTTACATTACATAATTTACATGTGACTAATGACTGATTTTGCAGTATTGACCACCATATTGCTAATGCATGACTAATGCAGTAAAAGTTTTTTTGCATATATTGACCTCTTATTGATAATTTAAATGGATTGAGTGCTGTTTGCAATGTGAAAATGACTTTTCTGTTTTCACTTCACAATATTTTACTTCAAAAAAATAAAAAAATCATGAAATTAGCATGAATCTGAAGGCGTGCTGCTTTAAACTTTGATCAGGGTTATGCGATAATACAAAAACTAATGTCATACACTTATGGTAACATTATCAAATCTTATCTATGAGATGTAAGACTGACATAAACAAATGGGAATATGGCAAGAAAAGAGAAAATTATTCTTACATCTATTGTGATAAACCCGCAGCCATTTAAGCCCAATTAACAACATAATTTTCCTTTCCTTATTAAAAAAATAATTCAATAAGTGCAGTTCAATTTACAATAAACAATGCAATTCTGACGTGTTCAATTAACAATAAACAGAGTAACTATAAGTCTATGAGTCTGTAAATTTTTTAAGAACGCACTACACAAGGTTCTTAACAAAGACATACACTACATACATTAGTTTGTGCACAATAAATGAATCGACTGACATTTTTTCTCAGTTATGAATATTTGAAAAAAAAAATAATTAAAAATAATTAATTGAAATATTATACGTGTTAAACATATGGTAGACTGTTTAATCAGGAGTGAGTTATTATTATTCAACAGATTTGTTAGAAAGTAAGGAAGGATATATTCATAGTCTACAAAAATAACCCGAAGAATTGTATAAAATATACTAATACTCATTTGCATAGAGAAAAAAGTAGTTAACGGCAGATTTAAATATATACATTATATGTTATACAAACAAATTTATTATTGTATGATACACTATATACACAATATAAGGTTAATATTGCTTACTATAAAAAGCTTTGGCACTATCAAGTTTGTTAATTGGTTTTTAATAACAGTTATTTGCTTATTTTATTGGTTTATAAAATAAATATTAACTCTAAACATGAATAATTGACAAAATATTGGTTTTGAAAGCATATTTTATAATGATTTTTGAATTTTGACAGGTTAATTGAAATATAATCATATCATTCGTATGAATATCCATATTTGAAACTTATCAAAATTTTGTCAAACTGTATGAGATTACGGCTTAAAGCTTATAATAATAATGATGATAATAATATATTTATTAATTTACTGTGACATACATGTACACATATAAAAATAAACATAATTTCAACCAAAAAGAAAAAAGAAAGGTAAAAAATAATAATCAGTATAACACATATTAAATTACTGGCAATTATTTGTTGAACTATCAACCGAATACTTATATATTTGAATGTCTACAATTAATATATTATCATTATACATCTCATACTTTTTTCATTTTAACTTTCAATGCTAAAGTGGCAAATAATTTAATAAGCTTCAAGTCTTTTCAAGTTCGTTTTTTATATAAACAAGGATTATTACAAAGAGAAAAAGACTAGTTAAGGTTTAAACTCTAACTGGTCATTTTCCTAAAAAGTATTGCGTAAATCTACAGAACAAATAATGAACACAAAATTTCAACATAATCTCTCTCAATTGTCTGTTTTATAGTTCATATGTTACTAAGAAATAAGTACTGTTATCAAGGTAATTCTATAAAAATAGTTTCTGATTTCCATAAAAATAGTTTCTGAATTATTAAGAGTAAAAAACAACTCGTGACTTGCATATATAAGACTGTACGTTTTTTAATTATAGGTTAAAGTTTAATCCACTATATTTACTGACGGTTTTATTAAGCCACATCTTACAAATTTTTACCAAATGGAACATAAATTCTTTTTTTCAAATGAATCTTTCAAATTTTTCACTTTATTATAAACTTTCAAATGAAATATTGAGAAATATTGATGAAATAAAATGCGTATTTTCATTTTCTGTCTTTCACAGTAAAAATTCAGTTGTCACTGCAGTGAAACATATTTTTCAAATTTTCACAGGTGTCTTGCCGGACTTCTTTTTTCTAAATTCAGCAAATACACAAAAATCAAGTGGAAGTTTTTCAAATTGTAATGTCTAAAAAGTGAAAAATGTATATAACAAAAAGAAAATTCAAGTTTTTTTTATAAATACACGACTTACTTTCATCTTGTGATATGCAAATTATCATATTTCATTTGTGGCTACCTCCACTCATGAAATATTTATTTTCATACCGCTTAAATAGAAAAAACTTGAATATCCTCTATGTATTATAAATATGGCAACAAGACAGCACATCTTCACAGCTGGACCAGTCAATGTTGATTTAACTCCATACTATTGGTTGTTCAATTTCATATTATTATAAAGCCCATAACATTCTATTCTTGCTAATTTAAACCAGGAAATGCTCGCTCTGTAAGTTTTGTGTGGACTAAAAGAACAATATACAATATACCTTGAACGAAATAAGTACTTTGTCCATAATTGTATCAAATTCATGAAAAAAATCCTAAAACTTAGATAACTAAGTATTGTAGAATGTTGAACTTCAAAAGGTTTGCATAAACCTTATAACTATATGTATAATTATCATCAAAGTCAAACTAGAATACAGCTCAGAATTCAACCTTTTACAGATATTTGAAAAACAAATGTGCAATAATATTATCATAATCAAATATTTGTCAGCAAAAATCAATAATTTTGTCTTCAATGTAGACAAAGTAGTGGGGTAAAATTTGACGTTGGCATCAATCTAGAATTCAATCTTTCTCCGCAATTGTAACCAAAACAACACATCTTAACCTAGCTACAGCAATACAAAAAACATAAAATCTGGAAATAACAAAATCCATGAATAATTTTTGCTAACAACTTATCTAGCTACTATGCATTTTTTTGTCTGTTTATGTAAAAAGCAACAATTTAAGGTGACACATACATCATCCATTTTTTTGTCTGATTATGCAAAAATAAACAGTTTAGGGTGACACATACATCATTGTACAATTCTTAATACCAATTTAGTCATCTAAGATTTGTCAAATTTATCATGTCATAAGGTAGAGTGTTGACGAGATATCACTTGACTCTTGACCCTGTGTTTGACTTCGAAAAGATTGTTTGTTTGGGTTTTACAACACACCAACACAGTATAGGTCATATGGCAATGTTCAAGCTTTACTGGTGGAGGAAGACCTAAGGTGCCCTTCCGTGCATTATTTCCGGCACTAACAGGCACCTGAGTAGAACCACTGACGATCCATTAGCTGGCTCAATAGCTTCCTCACATGTCGGAATTTGAACACACAGCAGTGAGGGACAATTGGTTTTTAGCCAATGACCTTAACCACTCAGCCACGGACACGGACACCCCTTTAAAACAATAGCAGTATGACTAAAGTTCAATATCTAATAATGAATGAGTCACCTTAAACACAAATCTCAACAGTACATTTATAGTCCATATCCAGAATATTCTAATTCAGTCAAGGAAAATGATGTTTACTAATCTAAATCAATGTGCCACCACGTCTTTTAATACATGAATATTCTTTATCTGAAACTTGTCTACACAGTGATTAAAATCACATTAAATAATTCTATATTCATTAATATCATTATAATATATCTGAAAGTACATTAATTCATTGGCAAACAATTTATTGGCAATAATTTGGCAACTTATCTTGACACCTATATATTCTGCAGATTTTTTACCAAATCATATCTTTATCATTTAATTATGCTACAAAAGTAATTCATTACCTATAAATTTGTGTATCAGATAATCACCAACAGAAAAATATGTTAAATATCTGACTACACTGTGTTGACATAATGTACACAAAACATGCATATTACCTTCAGATTGAAATCTTCTGTAATGTCAGAATTTTTTTTCTTTGCATAAAAATAATAATAAAATATAGTTAAAAGCCATTTTTTGATGCTCTCATTTCCTAATACTTTATTTTGTTATTCCTAAAGGGAACATGAACTGTATTAATTGCTACTAAAAGCAGCTTTTATTAGTCATCAGTTATTGAAAGCAGATCTAGGTCTGAACTGTACTCTAAGCTTGACTCTGTCTCGTTGTCAGTAACGATACTTGGCTTCTTTGATCTTTCGGATGAGACAACAAGAGAAGATGATACCAAATACTTGTATAAAACAAAATCCGAGAGCAATTCCACCAATAAGAATGAGAGATTCCTTCGTAACCTGTTCTAACCTTCTACTGCAACCCTGAAATATACAATATTGTTTATACATCAATATAGCACTGATGGACTCAATACAGGATTGGAGCAGTACCTCTAGACGCTTGCAGAAATCATGATCACAAAATAGACAAATATCTTTTTTTTTAGCCGATTTTTACATTTTTCATTCATTATCATACATAAATCAGTGTGAAAAGATGAATTAGACCTTTTAAAGTTCATTCCGTTGGGTAAAAAGGCAAGGTTTTAGCATATTATCATTCAAGCGCCTTGTCCGGTATATACCGGAATACAGTATTTAGTGTGGTGCTCCAATCCTTTTTTTAGTCTCACTCAGCGCTGATTTGTTAATATATATAAATGATATCATCAAAACTATCAGAATTCTGATAAGGGAAGAAGCCAAATATATTAAACATACATATAGGCACTCTCTGATTTTAATGAGTCTCTTTAGAGAGATAATATAAAGTACATATAACATGATCTCTCTAACACCCATGGCATAGACCGAAGCATTATTCAATCATAAACACAACATCATTCTCGCACCCCTGACAACAAACACAATATTTTTCTTGCAACCCTAGCATAGATTGAGGGGTTATTCAATCATAAACATAACATCTGTCTCGCACCAGTAAAAGTCAATGATCCCAAAGGACCAGAAAAATATAACAAAACTGGGATAAAGCAATAACTAGCTTTTCACAGCTGCTGTTGTGAGAATGAAAATTACAGAAACTTAGTAAACCTTGAGAAATCTAATTCTAAACATTATTATTTTTGATATTGTGTAGACTAAACCACATAAACAATCATATGGAGAGAATCAACCCTTTATAGGCCCAATGATTTCCCTACCTGCATTCTTGTACACAATAGAAAGGGCATTATTAGAAACACTTACTAACCATTTCATAGCTAGATGATATAACTTACAAAAGAAAAGATTTAAACAATCATTGCTAAAGATATATCCTGACTAGATGGCTTCATTAATTCTTTATCTTTCCAGTATTCTTTAGACTTCTACTAAAACAAATACTAAATTCTGTAGTCTTCTTGTACTAAAACAATTACTAAACAAGATGACTTACCAAATAGTTTATATTGGATGGATGGTCCCTGATAGCACATAGTTGATCTTCAGACTTACAACAACTGTCAGGTGTCTTGTGCTGTTCATCTTTGTTTTCCTTCAACCATTTAGAATATTTCCAGTCTTCAAATGAATTTGATCCACAGCAGAAAAACTGGAGACAAAAAAAGAAAGGTTTTACAATACAAGAGGGAAGAAAATCCATTCTTAAAACTAGAATTAAACATATCAACAATTATTTTCATTCGTACTAAAACTGTTTTGAACAACTCCCTTTAAAAAGACATATTAAGATAAGTTTTATTTTCAAACAATATTAAAAGTAAAAATTTTAATAGTATGTACACTAACATATGATAAACACATAAATGTAAAATACAGAGCTCTGTGAGAATTATGTTGACCATGGACACCCCTATATACAGATCATATTACTCTATTGGCTTTATGTAAAAGACATAAAAATCACGGACACCCTTTTATTGCTGGAATCAAAAGTGATTAGCCTTTGCCAGGTCAGTCAGCTCTACACTGGTGGCAATTCAATTCTTGTTCATTGTATGTCAGTATTTAAATCCTTAAGTTTATATTTGAAACTTACAATCCAAAATTAATGCTGGGCTAAGCCCATTATACATTTTGAGAAGGTAAATTACGCCCTGAAAGCAAACCTTGTTACACCTCATCATCATGTAATTCTCTGTTTTATAATTCTATATAATCTAAAATCCTTTAGTAAAAAGCTAGAACTTTAAACCAGGGTTGTCCCACTTCAGAAAGAATGCAGCATAGGATGACATAACACAACAAGGCCATGAATCAATGATAAATACAACTTTTTACAGGGTTAAATTGAGGTTATACTGCTAAAATAAGTCTGAAGTTAATACAGTCATGCTACTACAATGCCTACCACTTTCAACATCATCACTGAGTTCTCAGAATTAAATACCTTCAATTTTCCAAAAGTCATGACATGTTTCTTTATAGTATAATTATTGCTAAATTCAGTGGAAGCTTGCAAAACTGACATTCCTACATCTAAAGCTGGTTATTTTGAGCAATTTGACTTTTATCTGTATAGTAAAAGAGCAAACTGTGAGAAATATCAAAAGAAAACAATTCCAAAGAAAACCAACCAAGTAAGTCTGTCACAAATTTAGCAGGATAAGAAATTGTGAAATGAAATTGGGTCTTATAACTTTATCTATACTGCTGGCAAAAATCTGCCATTCTTGTCACTAACAATCCAAGATTTACAATTTATATATTGTGAAAAATTTACCTCTTGCTGCATATCATCTATTGCTTTTGTAACTTTGACATCAAAGTTGTATTTCTCCATCATTGTTTCATTCAAATTTCTTGTTAACTCTTCACTTATCTATAAGAATTATCATATAATAAAAGGTTTTGTATCATGTATTATATATAAAAGATTTTATATCATATAATTTAAGGCTTTATAAAACAATTGTACCAAGCAAAATTAATAATTATTATAGCTTAGAAGTGGTGCAATTTTGCATTTATGAAAAATTACCAATCATATATTCTACAAACTAAATTACCAAAATATAAAATTATAATTGATTTATGTAAAGAATTTTTTATATTGCATTCTCATGAACATATTTACATGTACATAATAAGAAACCTGTTTTTACAAACAATAATACATACAATTATATGCAACATGGAATTTGTTGTTTTTTGTTTTTTATATATATTTATTTATTATCATATCTCACTTAACAAAATGAAAAAAAAAATATATTCTCACAAGTGTGAGATGAATAATCTAAACCTATAGAAAAAAATATTTCATGACCAAATACTTTAACATTGAATAATTAAGATAAGTTTCTGCTGACAAAACCAGAATAAAGTTGATAAAACAACAACAAATAAACTTACCACACCATTATACATGTATGCCAGTACTCCGGCTACTGCCTCAAGTAGAAATATAACCAATAGAAAAGATGCATACTGAAAAATAAAAGAATGTCATATAATACTTTTTAGTTAAAGAAAATTTAAAATTGTAGTGTGACTATCATAAAGATTGAGCAAATATTTCAGTAAGCATTAGGTTGCTTCCAGTCACATCCTTTATTGTATTAATTGTAAATGTCATGTATGTAAATATGTTCTTACAATGTATGTCACAAACAAAACATGTCTAAACCAAAGACTCGCTGCACACCAAATTTGAAGGATCCTACAGGCAAACTTTGGTGATCAACCAGCCATTGATTCAGTTGGAGATGTTTAAAAGGTTTATTTAATAATTTTCTGTTGGCCCATAATAAGGTCCAATTTGGTAAATCACAAGCAAACTGAAGTTTGAATATCACACTGTGACACAGATGTTACACCAAATTCGAAGTTAACCTGACCAGTAGTTTCAGAGAAGAAGACCTATGTTAATGCCAGACAAATGAGCCACGTCATGACAAAACCAACATAATGCATTTGGGACCAGCATGAATCCAGACCAGCCTGTGCATCCGTGCAGTCTGATCAGGATCCATGCTGTTTGCTATCAGTTTCTCTACTTGTAATAGGGTGTTGTAAGCAAACAGCATGGATCCTGATCAGACTGTGCGGATGTGTAGGCTGGTCTGGATCCATGCTGGTCGCAAACGTTTTGTCATGGCGCGGCTCAAATTAAAAAGTGATTCACTTACAGTAAAGAGGAGACATCTGTTCTCCTGGCAAGCTCCGAAACATCCTACACAGCCAATGACAATAATAAGGACACCTGTTGCCACAATAAGGTAGGTTGTCACAGGAAACATTGCTCCACCAAGCAGACTTACAAAAGAGTGTCTACTTAACAAAATGTACAGACCCACTGCTAAAAAGGCAGCGCCAGAAAACTGAAAACATGACAAATGTATATAAAGATAATAACATTTTTTTATTGACTTTTATGAACATTTACCTATAATTTTATTATTTCTATATATGTTTCAAGAAAATTTCCTAACATTCAGCCTCACAAAAGTTATCATCGGACATCTTTTTCTTGTTATTGTAAAGTAAGTAAAACTTCTTTAACATTGCACTTCTTTATAATTACACAACAATGCTTAACATGTTTGCATACATGTTTTAATAAAAAAAAATCATTTTTAGGTATTGTTGCAATTCAGAACACTTAGATAAACAGTAATTCTTTCAGTAAATCTTACCAAAACTCATAGAAATGCTTTGTAAATTTTTTTCTATCATGTTTACACAGGATGATGTACAAGTGCCTGCATATTCTCATGAATTTGTAATAATCAAAACAAAATCTAGACCACATTAAAAGAATAATAAAAATATAAATATTAAAGGTGCACATATAAAATATAAGGGGCTGAAAAATAGCTCAATCAGTATGTAAACCTAGTAGCATAATGTCAAATGAGCGTAAACGTTCTTGAATATCACAGTAAAATGTTTAGGGATGTCATTGAATGTTGCGATATTGATATATTGTTAAGAAGTCAATTCACATTTGATAATACTGATACAAGTTAAAATCCATTTCTATGTAATGTTCAAATAATCTATTTTGTCTGAAGAGAGAAGTTGTTTGATATTCTTTCACTGTTGTGTCATGGCTAGCTTGAAACCTGAATTTAAATTTAACTTATAAGAGCTCAGAAAGACCTAATAACAAGGAAATAGATACACTTGCTTTTTATTGTAAATGTAACATTATGATTAATAAAATACCAGACATTAGACAGAATAAAACGTTACTTACAAAGAAGACCAGATTAAACACATAGAGAACATTCCTAAGGAATGTCTTTCCACAATAATCAGGATTTTTCCTCCTATTCTTAGCTGGACTGCTTGGAGGTTGACTTCCATTGTGTTGCTGCATGGTTGTAACCTCTCTAAATCCCTGAAAGATATAATGTCTCTGTAAATGTTTCATCAGCTCACAGTAAGCTAAATTGTAACAAGGTTAAACCATTTTACTTGCTCTCTTTCTCATTTGTAGGGTCCATGCCCATTCCACAACCAATTTATTTATCAATTTTTTTTACAAAGATCCATATTCGTACTTTTTTTTACTGTAGCCAACAAGACGATTAATCTCCAAAAAGTAAACATACATGTACGAAGACAATTACTGTTTCTTGGTTAAAATCCTCGTTTAAAGTCAATATAGTACTCCCCGCGGTTACCGCGTCTTTTCCTATTCCGGTGTAAGCAGAAAATTAGTTTCTTTACCCACTGAACGCCACCAAATACTCTTTCCACCATGAAAGTGAAACTGGAAGTGTTCCTTTTTTAATTTGGATAGAAATTGTTAAAAATATTTTCATTTCAAATAAATTCTGTCATTGATAGAAAAATCCAAAGCTGCCCGCATGTGTTGAAAATACTTCTTTATTTTACCCCATATTTATCAGTTAAACTGATAATTTCATGTTCCGACAAGTAAAGGTCGTCTGCTGAAACTGTAGTGAGGTCATATTCTGTTGAAAGAAATTATACTAAAGCCAAAAAGGGCCATCAATTTACATACCACGGTACCATAGTGCTCTCCATTTAAGCTCCCATTCAAAACATGGCGGACTAAGCGTAGATGATTCTAATTTAAATCATTGAGTTATTCTATGAATGACATGTGTATTTTAAAGTCAAGATGCGACATTTAAACACAATTTGATAAAATAGTAAATTCAAGTTCTTTTTATTTATACAATTTGCTGGAAATAATAAGAACAGTGGTACCATAGGGGACCATCCTAACATATGCATTTTCAACTTCCATATAATTTTGAAAATGCAGTACGGCTAGCCAATGACAGAGTGTCCTTGCTAGTCATACGTGACTCAGGTACGACTAGAACTTTTGGCTAGCCATACGGCTAGCCACTTCTAACTTTCAAAGATTTTTCTTAAAATAACACTGAATAAGCGTTATAATTTTTTTCACAAATTAAAAATATCTTCCTATTTTTGATGTCAGAACTTCCTTCTTTGTTTATTGCAAATTCTGAAATCTCCCTCTTTTTGAAGTAGAATCTCCCACTTGATCATCAAAAAAAAGTTCACATGTATGCATTTTTACAGTGATTTTTTTTCGTGTATTTTACAGCCCAATAAAGGCTGTTTCCCCTAGCCAAAAATAGGTATATTTTCCCATAAAAATGCTTATATTTTCCCCGAAAATGCCCTGTGCACATTCTTTACCAGAACCATGACTTAAAAGCATCTGACTAATATCAGCTAGAAGATAAAGCTGTTCCTATAGATATCCTCTGCTATGTACCATGCATGTAAAAGTGAAATGAAATTGAAAATTTTATCAAATGTTGGGTAAATTACATACTCAGTTGTTGGTATTTGAATTCCCCTTACTGATTTATCGCGCTATATTTTCCCCTTCAGAAAGCCACAGGTTGTTATGAAAATTGCAAAAAAATCACTGTTTTAGGACACCTGCAGCCTTAGTAAAGCTAATTAATAAGGGGGCAGGGGACATATTCGAATGATGGCCCCGGTCAAATTTTTTAATAACTCAGACATGGTGTTTTGAAGGTACTGATAACTTCTGATATTTCTCTGTCATTGTAATTCTTTCTTGTTTGTGTGTAGGAAATGAGAAGTATTTTTGGGTTTTTACCCGAAACTAAGCATTTTGGTAGCTTTGTATGTATTTCTGACTCTCCGAATGGAGGTGAAAAAGTTAAAAATCAAGCTTTGACAGTTGGCGCCAAACAAGTAAGAAATTTCAGATAAATTTTGTGAAAAATCTAAACGTATGACAGACACTTTATTTGTCATTTCTGAAAATGCCATAGCTTGCACTGCGTGTTACAGATATTTTTAAAGGAATCGGGCGGATTCTTGAGTATGCTGCACTTCCATGAAGATTGCCCATATTGGTATATTTTAGGTGTGATTTTGGCTGGGTGGGGGTAAATATAAATTGCTGTCAGTCATTTTTTGAAGGAGCAATGCATGCAAACTATTATTTTCTTCAATGTATGTCATATATCATTGAATAATGCTGTGCAACTGGTTATCTGCATGTGAAACAGATTTTGAAATATTTGGAATTGTGTTTCTGGTCACACTGAAATACAAAATTTTTCATTTTTAGGTCCCCTGCCCCCTTAAGGAAATTTTCAAATTTATAAAATGTGTTGGAATTGACCCAAATGTGCCCATAAACATTCCTTCTACATTTGTTAGTCAAAATTTGAAGTGACTGGTAGGATTTATCAAGTTATGTAGAGTAAGTAGACTGTCAAGTCAAGGGAGGTAATAAAAATTTGGAATTTTGGCAAACACTGTACTTCACAGAATATGCACATTTATCCAGATTAAACAGTTTTATATTGTGCAAATTGACATAATAATGCATAATTGAGCACTTTCAATTGTTACAAATGTATATAATGTCATATAAGTCAACAGTGGTATCTTTACTGCACTTTTAGGTGTAAATGGGGTCTAGTTTGCTGTAAAATTCATTTTGGGACATTAAATGTGGCTGTAATATTGTTTTTCATGCTATTATCTCCTTCCAAAAGACTTTAAATACTTTGAAAATACTTTATGGTATTAAAATGAAGGTGGAATACAGAAAAGTAACCATCTCACAGGTTCCTGGCACTTGATATTAAGTAAATCATATAACAGGCATGGTCATTGTACTAGTTACTTCCCCTGAAATAGGGTCTTTTTTAAATCTTTGATTAAATACAAAGTAACCGCAGAACACACTTTTCGAAGTTAACGTTTAATGCGAAATAATCCATATTTTAAGAAAATAAAAGGAAACGCTTTAATGCAGATCACATAAAAAATCTTAAGGGGGCAGGGGACATATTCGAATGATGGCCCCGGTCAAATTTTTTAATAACTCAGACATGGTGTTTTGAAGGTACTGATAACTTCTGATATTTCTCTGTCATTGTAATTCTTTCTTGTTTGTGTGTAGGAAATGAGAAGTATTTTTGGGTTTTTACCCGAAACTAAGCATTTTGGTAGCTTTGTATGTATTTCTGACTCTCCGAATGGAGGTGAAAAAGTTAAAAATCAAGCTTTGACAGTTGGCGCCAAACAAGTAAGAAATTTCAGATAAATTTTGTGAAAAATCTAAACGTATGACAGACACTTTATTTGTCATTTCTGAAAATGCCATAGCTTGCACTGCGTGTTACAGATATTTTTAAAGGAATCGGGCGGATTCTTGAGTATGCTGCACTTCCATGAAGATTGCCCATATTGGTATATTTTAGGTGTGATTTTTGGCTGGGTGGGGGTAAATATAAATTGCTGTCAGTCATTTTTTGAAGGAGCAATGCATGCAAACTATTATTTTCTTCAATGTATGTCATATATCATTGAATAATGCTGTGCAACTGGTTATCTGCATGTGAAACAGATTTTGAAATATTTGGAATTGTGTTTCTGGTCACACTGAAATACAAAATTTTTCATTTTTAGGTCCCCTGCCCCCTAATAATTTGGTAAATAATGACGGTGTCAAGGAGTAAACTAATTAAATTATGATAACAGATTTCACAATTATTAAATTTGATTCTCAAATACATGTACAATAATAATCACTTATACATAGCACAATTTATATGTTTATAAAGCATATATATATGCACGAACACTTACAATAAAAACAATAAAAATTCACAGGTGTCAGGAAATTAAATAACAATATGGTATACTGGTACATGTGGAAGGTACGGTCAGGTCAAGTTTTTGACAAGTTGGTGTACGGTGAAGTACGTATAATTTCCGGTAAGAATAATCTATCTTCCTTAGACTGCTAAACTAGAATGCTTGTTGGTGGTGGTCTCCGCAGACTTAACTTTTGCTGTTGTTTTTTTTTTAACATTTTTTCCTCCAAAATCATCAGGAAAACTGTAATTCTACCACTCACCAGCTCTGCAGTATATTCACACCCCTCCAAAACAAATAAATGCACTAACATTAAAAAACTTCTAAAATGTAAATCACTTTAATTTTTATAATATTCTAGTGTGGAAAATACACTTTATTTATACTGTTTTGTGTACATTTTATATACATTATCAAGGTAGGTTTCTGACATAATCAAATGTACATGCTAAAAGGTTGGGCAATTTTTTTTTATTTTTTTTTTTTTTTTTGTGCAAAATTATCGTGGACGCTGCCCAAGAAATCATTTGAACCAGGGTTAGATATTCATTATTTTGTATTTTCAACCAATTTTAAAATCGAAATTGTCTGGCCACAGGAGCCGATCACATAACTAAATGATGGTCCGTGAATTACTAAGATCAATCTAACGAGATAGGATATTAAAAGTGAACATTTTCTTCTTGTCTGCCACAAGACTACAAATTGGGATAATGTGATTATATGTGTATAATGCAAGCACGTTTGTGATAAATATACAGTACAGTACAGAAAGTACTTATAAATCTTCAAATCACCGAAGCATTAAATTAATCCCCGTTTGATTTATGACCTTTTGAATTAAGGAAATTATGGAAAGGCTGATAAGAGAATTAAAATTTCGATTAATCCGGATTAAAAATGGGAAGTATGGTTATAAATTTTGAATGTTAATATATGTTGATTGCTAAATAAAAACGAAAGAAATTACGAATTAGATCTTAGAGTTACAATAATACTATGTGTCCCATTTATTGTATTGCCGTTAATAAAAAAGCGATAATTTTGTGATAATTTTTATGTGATATGGAGACAATCAGAAATGGATAAAGTTAATGAAATTGTATTGGAGTCGGCTGTTGTTATCCTTGGTGGTAATTGATTTATTAATATTTCTTCTTTCTTTTTCCTGATTTCTAATTTTAATTTAAGTTTCTTTATTTTTCATTTCATTTATTTTTTTATTTATTGTTTTTATTAATTTAATCATTCATTCAACGAAACATGCTTTTATCATAGATTCAACATTTTTTAAAACTTTTAATTTAATTACATGAGTGTGCCTACAGAAGTTTTACAAGAGATCATTTTATGAAATCAATATTTATTGTATTAGAATATATTAGAATATATTAGCGGTAGATGAAAAAATATTTTGCCGCCATTCATCAGATATCACACAGTAAACACCTTTGAAGTCCACTTTGAATTGATGTTGTCATTTTAAAATCGATGAAAAAGTAATGAACAAATAATACAAGTTGAATAAATCATAATGCGAGTTATAATTCAGACGTGAATTATTTTTTTTGAAGGCGGAGTTGATAAAGATGGAACGCCGATCGTTACATTTCCGGTTGACTCGGCAGACCTTCTAGATATATATTCGTGTAAAGATATTTTACGTCTGATGCAAGCTTTCGTTGATTTGTCTGGCGGACAAGTGACCGTTGTTGCTGACCTACAGGAAGGATGGACAGAGGCTATTACTGACAAATTAACATACCTACTGAATGAATTACAGGTATGTTTCTATTCTTATAGCTACATGCATGCGAAACAATTGTCATTTTAAGTCTTCATATGGCTAGTGTTATGTTTTACAGTTATGGTTACGCCGGCATTTAGGGGCCATCAGAAATATTTTATCTACCACGTGCGAACGCGATAGCTACTATGTGCGCACGCTATAGCTCCACACGCGTACGTGGTAACTACTACGTGCGCACGTAGTAACTATCGCGTGCGCTCATAGTAACTATAGTGTGTGCACGGATGACATATCCAGGTAATGTTTAGTTGACTTGTATCAAACTGTTACAGAACTAAATAATATATCAATATAATTTATTATAACATCTTTAATTTTCAAAATTAAATAAGCGTGGTCACTGGCAAATTACTTTAATTTTCGGGAATAACTTGATTTAAATTTCATGTTTACTAGGGCATTTATACAAGGGTATTTGCAAATGAGCAATATGCTGATATCATAAACTCTTACCGTGGATTAGGTCGTCGTCTGAATTCTTTGCTTTCCGTATATGTTGTAGTTATCTATATATAGAGAAAGTAACGAAAATGAGTAATTTCTATGAGCATAAATATAGGTTATAAAACATTTTACTGTACAATATGGGAATGTATTTGGACTCGTACACAGCTTGAAAAGTCATATTGGACGAGCCTTTTTATTATATATCTTTCTTTTAATTTGAAATATCATCATCATCGATCATCACACCCAACTAAAACACCACCAATATCATCATCCACACCACCACCATTATCAACAACAAAACCACTATCAACAACACCATCAATATAACAACCAAAACCACAACCACTACCATTAACATCAATAATATGATAAATATCACTGTGACCCCTGTCAAAATGTTATTAAAATAGGTAATAATTCATGAATGGTTTTGTTGTATACATACATATAAGTTTCAGGATTTGACTAGTACAATTTATTGAATACTTTTTAGACGTTACAGTAAATTTTATTAATATATCATTTACTTGAGTTCAAGAAAATTGCCTGAACAAATTATATATTGGAACAACTTACATTTTAATAAACATCATAATTATATAACAGTAAATAAGAAAAATATTACATTGACACCCCTTATCTCTATTATCACATTGACAATAGTATAACATTTACCGCGTCTGAACGCAAAAGACGTCATGTCAAAATATATGCACGGTCGTTTAGTGCGTCCAATATGAAAATAATATAATTTTTGGATCCAATACGGGAATATATTGGACGGTCACGAGGTACAAATGCAGATTGTCGATTGGTTAGGGTTATTACATACATAATAATGCCTTTTATAGTACCATATATAACTTTTTAGAATATATAAAACTAAAATCGAGATAAAGTTTATTGCAGAGTCACATATGTCATTTAATTGTAATGCCTGGATAGTTTTAGCAGAGTTCTATAAAAAGATATTCAAAAGACTTTCTTTTGCTATACCATGCAAATGGCCATGCAGTGTTCTTTATCATTAAACAGGATACAAGAAAACGTTGTATAAAGAAAGCATATTTCGTGAAACCGTTTGTGAAAACAACGAAAAGACTCCTAATCAGGAATAACTCAAATACAAGGGAGAATAGAAAGATCATACCTTTGTATGATACAGAATATCTTAACCATGTCAGAGATCTTTACGAATTTATAGACAAATCTCAGCTGTCCACGGACTATGGTGGGACGATGCAATACAACCACATAGCCTGGGTTGATTTTCAACGGGTTCGTACAAGATACTAATATTTATCAATTCTGCTCTATGAAAGTGTTCTTTTTTTTAGTTCCGATCAATTAAGTGTGAACTCCATTCTAGTTTATAGCACACTAATATTTAATTACGGTAAATTATTTAATATTTTATACAAAAACCGTAAGAAATCCTGTATGTGTGCATATATAAATATTTTATAATATATATGTGGGTCAATATACAAACCCTAAAATGCTGGAATTGACAATAAATATATACACTCAGAGGCACTTATAACCCAACACTGACATTTTTCTGTATAAATAGATTATTTGTGAACAGATTTTGATCAAATTTTGACTTTACAAAATTCAACATATCATACTTAGTACTTGGAATTATATTTACAATTCATTAATAAGAAAATAGATAAAATAGCAAAACAAATAGGCTACTTTAAAATGAAAAATCGCAAAATCACTGTAAAAATCGTAACAAAATGAACAGTCTCTGAATCCCATTAAATCTGTATGTTTACCAGTTCTTACAATTTGTATGTCCTCCCAATTGGCTATAACGAAGTAAACACCTCTGCATCATAGTTCTAAATGAAAAATAAGGGCTTGCTCTTGTTCCAGCAAATTGCGACGAGCTTTTGGCCGCTTTCTCACACACCTGTTCAATTCAGCCGACAAGTGTGATGTTTAGATCTATGACTTTGAATGCAGAAGTTGCTGGAACTCGAGGAAGCCCTTATTCCGGAATGGAGAAATATTCCCAAAGCCTTCACTACGTCATAACCATGAGAAAGGTGTTTACACTATGTTAAAGCCATGGGATGACACAGAAAGTATAAGAACTGGTTATTATACATAATCAGTTGGATTTAGAGACTTTTCATTGTGTTACGATATTTACAGTCATTTTGTGATTTTTTCATTTTGCAGTAACATATTTATTTTGTTATTTTCTCTATATTCTTGTTAATGAATTGAAAGTAAAATTATAGCAAATAAGTATGATATGTTGAGTTTTGTATGTTCAAAGACTGAACAAAATCTGTTCACAAATAACCAAGTTATACCGGAAAATGTAAGTGTCGGGTTATAAGTGCCTCTGAGTGTAGTTGAAGGACATGAAATGATATTCCATTTACTTCATTACATTGAATACACATGTTATGGGGCGTGAAAAGAAAATGTCACAAAATGATGACATCTATGATATTTATTCTAATAAAACAATATGTCCACCTAGTAGCTTCGTGATATGGATTAGATATAACGTTGAACATCTACGTGTATACGTCGACGCTGCCAGATTGTGATCAACAGTCATAGTAGAAATAGATATAAGAATAATTATCGATTTTATTATTACATATACATTACATTGTATTTTGCCGGCCCGCATAGCTCAATCAGTTAGAGCGCGAGACTTGTAATCTCGCCATTGTGGGTTCGATTCCGGGCCGGCCAACTAAAATTACTTTTAGTCTTTTGGATGAGACCTTAAATCGAGGTTCCGAGTATGATTGCTTAAACACTTGTTACGTTAAAGAACCAGGGGAAGCTTCTGGAATTGGAACATCTTTCTGTTTCTGTATCTTACACTATCCTCCAAAATCTAAAATGACTAATACTCTTCTGGAGGCCTCGCCCATATGGGCAACCGGTGGCGAGTATAAATAAACTCAAATGCAAACACATTGTAATTATTTTGCTACAATGACTTTTAACGGACCGTCACTTTAATTGGACACGTGTATTTAATTTGCATTTGATATGAAATCAAATAAATGGAACATCATATCATGTATCTGAATCGCATGTATTGAAATTTTCAGCATCACCGGACCAACACGTATATTCTAATATGCTCGATAATTAATGCAAAGTTATTGCAATGATCTTGAAAATGTTACTTCTATATGTCTTTTTGTGTAACTGTACACATTCATCACTTGCATCTTTCATATGCTTCAACCTAAGCAATAAGTGATAATGACATAAACAAATGAGAATTTAAACATAATACATTGTTTTACAAACTTTAGACATACATACCTATCATAACAGCTGGAAGAGAAGCTCTGGTTGCACTGGCTTATATTAGAAATGAAATTAATAGACTGAAATATCAACCACTGACAAAATCTTCTCAGATATCTCAAGGCAAGGAAGGTTACAAGTACCAAAATCTTATCAAGTAAGTAATGAAATTGATAATACATAAATTTTGGTTGCGTTCGGTGAACATTGTTCTCTTTTGTGGATGTTCAATCTCGTATTTTCTTCTAAAGTACACTATACACGTTGTTGGGTACGAATGTGGCCTTATTCCGTTTATATTCCTTTCATTGCATTTTCTTTGTCACTTTTTATCATTGTTTTGTTTATGTGATTTATATTCTTACTTGGTTCATGACTGTATTTCGGATCTTTAATTCAATTTTGTTAAATATACTTACCATTTACGGATAACAATTAATTCACTCATGTTAAAATATATTCCATGGCTATTTTGGGTCAAACATTAAAATATGATTACACTGAACAATACGCTAATCTTATGCTCTCTGTTCCTATTTAAAGCGTCCTTTCTTTTGAATAACATAAACGAGTTTGCAAGTTATGTTTATGTAAAAACGATTTGCTAGATCTCGGATGTGCTTGTAACTCTGAATGCTAACTAAAGTCGAGGTGATCCGATTAAGGAGAAAGCCTCAGGTTCAAAGTCCGCAACTATACATGTATTTTCACGGAATATTTTTTATTCATTTATAACAGCCAATACAAAGTTCGAGAAACTATCAAAAGTTGTGAAGACGCTATAGAGAGATTAGAGCACCCAGAATGCGACCCTAACCTGATGCAGACTCATGCAGCAGTACTACTTGATACAACAAACAAGTTGAAAGAAATTCATTTTAAAATAACGACGGAATTGGCGACAATGGACGCTGTCATGATGAGGTCGGACGCTGAACACGCCTTGATCGTGAAACTAGAAGAATGTGAAGACCATACAACTGAGGTACCGGTATACTAGCAGCACATACTTCATAGTTTTCAAAGATGTTCTATTACGGTGTATGAAGTTGATGGAAATAGAATTCTGTCCTCCTTGAAATAAACAATCATTTCATTAGTTTATACAAATTTATTTCTGTTCGATTGTGTTGGAAGCTAAATAAGCCTATTGAAACCCTTTTGAATTCGTTCCTGGAACCAACCATTACTAAGCAATGAATGTAAAGTTTCTTGCGAAAGGAAACAATTCAAAGGCTTGCCCCTAACAGGGTTTGAACCCACGCGGTCAGCAATCCTAATAGTCCGGCGCGTTAATCACTCGATCAACCATTGTGCATAATGAATGTTATACTCTGATTAAACCGGCGTGGACATATATTGCATCACTACTGTTAATTTAAATGATTGGGTCAAAATGAAATTATATTATTAAGTATTCATGTTGAATATTTAGGATTACTTTTCGTTTTTAGAGAAAAACTAAACTTAACATTTCCATCCTGGTGAAAATGAACGACATGTACGTAGTTTATGGTTTCATGAATATTATGTTCAGGTAGAAGAAACTATTGAGTTAATGTTACAACGTGTTCAAGGTTTACCGTGGGTTGGTACAAATGTTGAAGAAGCAAAGAGCTACAGAGATAAATTCGTAGAATCTGTTCTGACACCATCTAAGGTAAGTCATACTTCCAGTACATGTACAAATGTAATATCTTTTAGAGCGCTAAGGGCAATGATAATTTAAAAGATAAAGTTAGACTGTCAGTGCAAGACTGGGTATTGTTTATTGCAGGCCCCTGATAACTATTAGTTCAAAGGAGAACAAAGTTCACACAAAGAGGGCATTTAAATTTTCTTTTGTTTAGCGCCATGCTGCACATTATACGATTTATAAGAGACCTGACTACATGCAATAGTAATTATAATATAAAACTCGATCTAACTGATTTTTTAATCTAATTAAATGATTTGCTGACAAAGAAGAATCAAAATGTGAAAGGTTCAGTATTTGGTGAGAGGTTTCGAAAACTCTAGCGAATGCTTGGGGGTTTTTTTTAAATCTCGTCAGTTGTAACAGTAGTGAATGCTGTTTTTCTTAAATGAAAGGTACACAAAAATAAATATGTGAAAATGAATGAAAATTGACTCTACGACAAATAGAAATGACCTGCGTCTCAAAGAACACTTGAACAATTAATAAATGTGTTCTTATCACATATCAGCAGTTGTTTCTAAGGCAAGCTGCACTTAATTTTGAACTTACATTTTCCCGTACTCTTCGATCATCCTTGTATATGCTTTATATACATGTATATGCTTTAGTCTTCATTTTTATCTTTCCCAGGATATTGTTTCATGTGCATCATCTATTCTACAAGATCTCGAATGCGGGAAAAACACCACACAGACGACCTATGCAATGTCTATCAATATTGCAAAGAGACTAACAGAGGGTCTTCAACCATTTACAAAACATTTAAATGAAATAAATGAAGCATACATTCGGATTCATTTATTTCACGTCATTTCAGATAAGGTATAAGTACAAAAAAATGTATAAAGAAACGGTGATATACAGGTGACTTGTACAACCACAACATACAATATATTAGGGGGTTTACTATACATATGGGCCATGTCAGACCTCTTAAATTATTGACTTAAACATTTTCATGTTTACGTGTTAAATAATGGTTAAGATTGTGACAGAGGAAGATGTTATCTTCCATTAACAAATGAATGCCCACCATGAACATGCTCCACGACATTTTAATTTTGCAGTGTTTAGCGACATTTGATACTCCATTTTACCTACTTCTGTATTAATTATAGTCAATGTCGCTACACTGTTTTTATATAGACATAAAGAAAAGTATTGCTAATGTTTTATTAAAATTTTACATGGAATTGGAGTATGTTCACGGAAACGTTTTCGGCGAAATAAAAAATTGTCGACGATTTCGTTTTTAAGTTACTTCAAAAATAGCTGCTCCCTTATTGTTATTCATATTAACAATGGTGGATATTTCAATACTTTTTTAATATTTCAACAGATTGAGCGGTGGAAGCAAAAGGCAACACTCTTTTTGACAAAACTTACCCTACAGGAACAAAAGGACAGATCAAATAATTCAAGTACAAATGAGAATATAGAAGTACTCGATGAAAATGAAAACAAGTTGAAGAGAAGTAGTGACTTGCATTTAGATTTAGACAAACTGTTATTACCTGATAAAAATGATACACCAAATAAGTGTAATAGAATAGCCGCTCCCAAGAACTGGCAAATTTTACTAACAACGTTTTACAAAAAACATCCACCACCGGAGAAGAAACACGTGAGACTGCTGAATAAATTTGTACCAAAATATATCCAAGAGAGGCAAAAGCTGGAAGCTGAAGTTCTGGCTGAAAGGTAGCGTACGTTTAGGTTTTATTCATAGAAACGATTATGTAACTATATATACAAGTTTTCACACAAATGGATCTACACTAGAGCAATCAAAAGGTCTTTATATAATAGGTTTCATGACATTTTAGAAAGGAACACTGATGTTGTTAATATCATCAGTTAAGAATAAATTCTATGTGTCCACAGCATAATCTTATATATGTATACAAGCAGGTAAACCATTATTAAACATAGAATTTAGGAAGTAACAAAGTCTGACAATGAAAGCTCCTTGGAAATGAATTGTTAACTGAATTTGGACAGTTAAAATCGAAGATTTGTAATTATAGAGCAGAAATTTATATTGTTGAGATCACAAGGCACTATATATTTGTATCGTTTCAGAGTTTTGTTCATACTTCAGATGTTAAATAGGAATGAATTCAAACCGGAAGATATTCAACTGATACAAACTTGGTCTTATAAAAGCAAAACAAGTCATCTCGACAGTTCTAGATATATGGTGACACTTGTGTGATTTTAATGAATACATGATAACATTACAGTTGTTTTGTTGGTGTTTTTAATCATATTCTTTTTAAATGTATTTTATGCCAAATGATGGTTTAAAATAAATGTTCTAGAGATGCTTGTAACTTAAAATAAAAAAATGGCAAAATCCCTTACACACATTCAAAACAGTAAACACAATTTATACATAGTTCACTCAACAGACTGACATGCTGACCATTCCTTAACTTTGCCAAAAAGCAACAGATGAAAAATGGTTCAGGTAATTGGTCAGTGAATAACTTTTTGATGTTATAAAAAAGTAAACCAAAATTTAAAAAAAAAAGCTTTTAAGAAATAAAAGCATTTCTGAGACATAATGGACCTTTGATATATTTGATACTAGATTTATATAACAAGAGTATATGTACATGTAATGTATCACCGAAATTGTGTCTTTTAACATATAGATACATTGGTGAGTACTATGCGATATTTATTACATTACAAGGCTCTCTACCGTTGATACTCATATTTTAATTCCTTTAACTTCGCATTGGACTGTACCATTACAAATCTCGACAAATCCATAACCAAATAAATTCAGCAGAAATGTTGGCTCATGTTGTGTCAATTAAGTCGGTGCTTTAAAGCTGCACGCCTCCAGATGAGGCAAACTATTTCAAGAAAGTAAATATTGAGAAAAAAGTACTAAAATTTTTATGAAAGTTAAAAAAAACATTCAATTAAGATTCAAGTTATATTTAGAATGCACGTGCGGTTTAAGACTGATTTTTTAGTATTTATCACCATATTTCTATACTGCGTTACTAACGCAGTAAGGGCTGTTTTTGCATATGTTGACCACTTTTTGGTAATTTTTGTGGATTGTAAGTGCCGATTGCAATATATAAATTACTTTATTTGTACACCTCACAATATTTAACTTTTAAATACATTTCCAAAATTTTCATGAAAATCAACATGAATCTGGAGGCTTGCTGCTTTAAGAAAATGATAAAAAGAATGTACTTGTACATGGGTAAAATGTCCTACAATCAAGATACGAGTATTATGTTAAAGAATGAAAACATTATCAAGTGAATATTCAACTAATTTTATTTCTAATTTAATTATATGATATTTACAGCTTCATCCGGTGATGACATTTGCCTGAAATAGAAATAAGACAGTATACTAGAGTAAATTTGTAATAGAAAGTCTCCTGGAACTGCATTTATGTAAATTAGGTTTGCTTGAGGATATAGCTGTTGCATAAAACTTGCATTATGATAAAGTTAGCAGATGTTTAAACGAGTATGTTATCAGTGTTTGTTTGGTTTTTGTTTGATTGGATTTTACGTCACACCGACACATGATAACGTTCCGGCTCTTGCGACGTTCCAGCTTTACTGGTGGAGGAAGACCTCAGGTGCCCTTCTGTGAATTATTTCAGGCACTAACGAGCATCTGAGTAGAACCACCGACGTTCCCTAAGCTAGCTGGATAGCTTCCTCACAGGTAAGAATCAAAAGTCCCTGACGGGATTCGAACCCACAGCGGTGAGGGGCAAGTGGTTAGAAGTCAACGACCTTAACCACTCGGCCACGGACGCCCTTTTATCATTGTAAAATATTGTTTAATATTCAACCAAGTTAAGAAACGTGCTATTATTAGTGTCACTTGTAAAATATTTGAATATAATTATAAAACATACAATAAACTTATGTTGCCGTCTCTCTTGGTTCCGACTTTTGCGATAATTTTGGACTCATTCGTGAACGAACCATTCCATGCAAGAAGGATACAAATAAATTTGTAATTTAAATATGACATCAAAGTCCGGCACGCTCATGAACAGCATGCTGTCCGTGTAATTTCCAATTAATCCTAGTACATGAAGTTTGATTTCATATAGAACACATTTAGTCATGGATTTAAAGCACTTGCCCCTCAATACTGTGGTTTCCGTTATGGACTTTGAATTCTTTATGTAAAGAAGCAACTTTACAGAACGTCGGTGGTTTAACTCGTGCTTGTAATAATGCACGGAAATGTGAGTAAAGCCTTCCTCCACCAGTAAAGCTGGAGAGTCGCCATATGACCATTACAGTGTCGGCTTGACTTAAGAACCTGCAACACTAACAAACAAATAATATATAACATTTACCTCTCTTAGTGCTGAGCACGTGGCACAACAATCTGTAAGCACATACTTATTACACCAGTACTCGGGATTCTTGTGCATTCCCCAGACTGATTCTTTAACCAATTTATCGCAGTCTACAGAACCATCAAAAGCCCAAATATAAACATCTTTGCATCTGGTACTCGTTGGTATTGCACTACCTATATAAGATCAAAAACTGATCTTTTAGTTTGAACGTAAAATACATGTAACTAGATTTTATTATAATACTTGTTCATGTAGATCTATTCGTCTCTGAAAAACTTTTACATGAAAAATATTGTAATAAAAAATTCTACATTTTAAAAATGATATCTCAATAACGTTGAGATAAATCAAGGCAATTTAATGTTAAATCACGGCGTTGAATACATGTAGAGGTCTTATAGGGGCCTGTCTCAGCAAAATATCCGGAAAATAGGCCCGGGGAGTAATAAAACAAACAAGAGGGCCATGATGGCCCTGAATTCGCTGTATATAAAAGCTCTCCATGACAAGGAACAAGTAATATTGTAAAATATAAACAAAAGTAGATATAAAACCTAAATCACAAAGTTCATACTTGTATCTAAAATAGTGTATGTGTAAAAACATTATTGGTTGCATATAGCTAAGGGAAACCAACAGTTCCAAAAGATGTGGCCAATTTTGACCCCAGGGATTTTATTTGAACAAACTTGGTAGACACTGACTAGACGATATTCAAGCCAAATATTTAAGCTCTAGCTCTTTTTGGTTTTTAATAGAAGATTTTTTAAGTGTTTTCTTTCGTTTGCTTGGCAACCAGTGTACGTTCTGCATGATATTAAATTATTTGAACAATTTTTAAAGTTGACTACCAACGGAACATTCATGTGAATGTTGGATGAAATTGGCCTAGCGAAAAGCGATTACAAAAGCTCAACATGTCACTTTTTGTGACTGGTGAGCTTTTAAAAAAGCTAAAAATTGTAGACTAGGTTTGAATGAGTCTGTCTATTAGAAATAATGAAATGAGCCACATTTCTCACGCCTCTATCAACGACCTAAGCGTCACAGCAAGTATTATCATAGATAAAAAGAAACAGTAGACTATTAATCTTTACTGTCTCCTTCCTCCATCGGGTATAAATCTACTTAACAGGGACTATTCCCATATCCTTTTTAAATATATATTGATTTGCAATGTACGTGCAATAAAAATATATGTCAATATTAGTACAATACTGGAATTAATTTTATTTCATCAATAAAATACAATGTAGTTATACTGACTGATTTTTTCAGAACATACCTGCAATTGTGGGGCGTCCGTGGCCGAGTGGTTAAGGTCGTTGACTTCAAACCACTTGACCCTCATCACTGTGGTTTCGAATCTCGACAAGAACTTTGAATTCTTTCATGTGAGGAAGCTATCCAGCTAGATAACGGAACGTCGTTGATCTACTCAGGTGCCCGTTCGTGCCTGAAATAATGCACGGAAGGGCACCTGAGGTCTTCCTCCACCGGCAAAGCTGGAACGTCGCCAAATGACCTATACCGTTTCGGTATGACGTAAAACCCAATCAAACAAACAAACAAACAGAACATACCTGCAATTAATCGTGATGTTAGAAAGAATGTTAGGATATACAGTTGTATCATTGTAACACTGTTGCTGTCCGTCCGAAATATAACGATTAGCTGACCATCAATCCTTATCTTTTTGGTCATTTCACGAGTGAAGAATTTCCGATTTATTCTGGTTGTAATAATACTTATATATATATATATCGTGAGAAAATATCTTAATTTCTATATATGACATAGGTTATACCAATATAAATAATTTTGTACAAAATTACAAGACAAATTTATACATGTAGGTTTAATGATATAGCTCTTTATCTTTATAGGAAGTTTAACTAGTTTTTAATCACTCTGAGGATATGTTACCTGTTTTTAGAAAATATGATAAACAAGATCAACAAGGAAAGGCGGCGTTCAATGAACGCAGCCCCCATATGACCCAGCAACAAGAACCAAAGGCAAGGAGTCCAGGCGGACCCCAAACAAAAACAGGACAGGGCAAAGACAGAGCACGGACAGGTTAATCATTAAATGATAAATAATTTGTAACTGATTAGGAATTCAAAGAAAAGAATAATAGGCCCACAAAGGGGAAGGGGACAGGAGACCGGGGGAAGGGGGGCGGGGGTTAATCAAAGAAACAAAAACTAGAGGCAATGGGGAAGATACTTACCGTAGACGAGAAAACAACAACAAGGGACACAAGCAAAAGTGTCACCAAAACAGTATGAAACAACATAGACATACATCTGAGGAACACAGTGGGGCGCCGCCTTGGAACGGTCAGCAGCATAATAATGACTGCTGGGGAGTTTAAACCGGTTAATATGCACCAAACCTCGCTCTTAGCCCCACCCTGTTCCTATAAACGAGACAGTGTAAATAAAATGAATCTAAGGTCTTCTTCAACAACTGCTTGTGATATGTAGCATTTAAAATTACATTTAATAAGTTCAAACTATTGATTCCTTTGTTTAGTGCACATGTATGTTTCTACTTGGCAAACATACGTCGCTTTTCATGGATAATGCACGATAGTGTGACTGTCACATTGAAGTTACAGTGATCACCGCCGAATGAATCTAAATTCAAAATTTCATTACAATAGAAATGATGATGATGATGATGGTGGTGGTGGTGTTTGTGTTGGTGGTGATGATAACTCTTAGAACGATATTGGCGGTAAAATTGAATATGTTGAAGGTTCGGATTTGCTTAACCTGTTGTTAAATTGAACGACTGAATTAGCGAGTTCTGCCCAGACATGTATAGGTAAAAGTACTGAGAATAACTTCAAGAAGTAAACTTGCACC